TGAAATATTCAGCTCTCTTCTTTGAAGACTGTCATATTTTTGTATCAAAATTGAATTTTGGATCACGAGTTGCATAAATATACCTGGATATTTCAAAGAATGATAATAAACCATCTGTCGAATTGAATGTTCGCTCGTAAATAGTATAGTAAGTCGCTTTAATAACTTTTTCCCACTCCTTTCAGATATCAAGATTTTGCCATGTCTATCTACAAAGTGTTGTTTTTGAGATAAAAGGAGTTTTCTGTTTTCCTTAAAACGGCTTCTGACTGCGATTTTTATGGAGTTCTGATAGATGATATAAGTAAAATATTTCCATCAATGATATAGATAGATTATAGACAGTAGGATACAAGATAACGTTCTGTATCTCAGTTATAATACGGTATAGGCACATCAATAGTAGGTGATATGGAACCATCGAAGTGTCCACTATCTACAGGTACCGTATGTGAATTGAAATCTGGAACACCCTGTATATAATTATATTCAATCAAAATATTTCTCACTGATGGCGTTGTTATATAGCGAAATAACTATTGTCAATAATTCTATTAATTCTGAAATTGTCACTTTGGTGAATGAAAAATTCCTCGAAATATTTTTTCCGAATGATCGTTTTGAAGAAAACATTTCGAAACTACTTGATCTACCAACTTATGAACTTGGACGTATTTCAGAAATAATAATATTATAAATGATTGCTTGCAATGGGATTTTATCATTGTTCTTTGTATAATGATGACATAATATCGATACGAAGAAAACATATTCATTGGAATACAATGAAATCATTGAATGAATGTGGGACTTCAGTTTTGAAGTCTGAATTCCATGGGAGCCCAATAAAATGGGCCGAAGTTATTTTAGTTATTAGGATTATAGCAGACTAATTATTACTCGCGCTTTCACACCGAATTTGAATTCAAACACTACAAAGTAAGGGTATAATGGTTTGTGAAATGTATGAACGTTTGTCTTCTTGCTTAATATCATCGTGTTATCCAGAAGATTGCCCTAAATTGTATGAGTATCTTGGGTTCGATATCCCTATGAATATATGTTCATTATCTGAGAACACAAGATTTTGTCTCCTTTTGACCTGACATCCACAGCACTGCGAAGAGCAACGCTTTGTACATAATATATTATTATACATATAAAACTATTATTAGTTCTGTGGAAATGAAGAGTATGGAATGAGTTAGATTTTGAAACATCCTCTAAAGAATTTCGAGGTGATAGTGCTTCAGATGGCTCTTCAAGTTCTTTTTGTAGAAGTAAGAGGCATTACAGAAGTGACAAAAAAATGTCTTTATATTTTCGCAGGAGAATTTTCGATGAGCAGCCATTCCTTTTCTTGATTTGTACTCTCTTCCACATCTCATACATGGAAAAATTCTTATTCCTTGAACAAACAAATAACATTTATCTCAATTCAAACAATACCAAATAACCACTCACAACGATCGATATCATACGCATTTTCCATTCAAAACACTTCTACAGCTTCCAACTGAAAAAAAACATGCTCAACATAATTTAAGGATGTGGTGAAATATGATACTGAATGCTATAAGAGGTTTTCTTGTGCTAGCTCATTCTGAAATCAACATATACAGGGTGATCCACGGTGGATGGCCCATTAGAAGTATCTGGAGAACGAAATAACAGAACATGCTGGAAATTGAAATGCTCTGATAATTGAACATTCTCTGTCCGTCTAAAATATTTTCATCGATACAGAGTTATTGCCACTTCTATCAGAAACAACTAGCAACTTCGTTATTGTAAATGGAGCACCTTGTATTTCTTTGCCTTTTTAAATTCGTCCTGAAGAGCTGATTTCATCAATGCATCACACTTGGTGTCTATCAGAAATGATTACAGAGAGAGTGTTCAAAATCGAGATTTTTCAATATTAAGATTTTTTTTGTCGAAACTATTTATGATCGATCAAAACGGCTTATATATGTCCCTATCTTCACTTTCGATGCACTATCTACTGACATTCAATTGGAACAGATACGATACAGCGTGATCAGAATTCTGAATCTTGAAGAACCTGTATTTTTTCCAATTAAATTCCAGTAGATAGTGAATCAAAAGTTGAGATAGGGAAATGTAAGCCGTTTTGATCGATAATGAATATTTTCAATACAAACAAATCCTAAAATTGAAAAATCTCGATTTTGAACACCCTATATATCTGTAATCATTCCTGCTGGACCCCAGGTGTGATAGATTGATGGAATCAGCCCTTCAGGAAGAATATAAAAATGCAATAGAATACAGGGTGTTTCATTTGAAATAACAGAGTTGCTAGTTGCTTCTGATAGAAGTAGCAACACTATCGAAAAAAATATTTTCGACGGATAGAGAATGTTCAATTATCGAAGCATCCCAATTTTCAGAGTGTTCTGTTTTTTCGTTCTCCAGATACTTCTAATAGGCCATCCACCGTGGATCACCCTGTATAGAGAGAAAAATCGAAAGCATTGTTCTACTTTGGAAGAAGATATACTGGAAAATTTATTCTGCAAAAAGATATTTCCAGGGAAACATTCATCTGAACTTCCTTCGTAATTCAGCTTCGTCAACAAGTACTTCAATAAATGATATACTTGCCCACTGAGTTACCTTGTATATCTACCATACCATTTGGTGTTTTGGATTAACTATCAGAATTCATTTGTGAATCTATCTATTTATTATTCCATCAATGGTTCGTTTGAAACAATTTTTGAAATGTATCAGAGTTATAGGTAGAAGGACAAATAATATGTTTCGTGATGTTAGAGGTGAAGGTGGTTGTTGTAGAAGTTTATGATACATGTTTAGACTTTGATGTGTAAGTTTGATGAAATATCTGGCACCTAGCTTCGTGTTTAGTCAAATTACACTTAAGTTTAGCTCTGTAAGGACAATAGGCACATCGGAATTGTGGTTCTTTCTGACATTCGTAACGCTGGTGCTGTATCAAGTTTCTTCGATGTTTGTAAATCCTGCCACAAATTTCGCATTTCGGACCTGAAATTAGATGAATTGAATGTTTCGTTGATATATTTCGCAGAAGTAGCGTTGTATATATGTTCTTCATTTTATTTCACCGATTTTTGAGAGGAATATTATCGCCTATTGAATGTACACTATTGGTTAAGATACCCTTTACAATACAATATTATTAATCCGAATTGTACTGTAGGTTTACTGAGTTATCAATAAATATTGTATGCGTGCCAAGAAGCAAAACAGAAACTTTCCATTCGCTGATGTCGCTGGTGTATATTATTGTTTTTAATTGTTCTAGGTGCAACTGAACAGACTCAAGAATTCAGTGAACAGAAGAACACATCATCTTCGATACAGTCATGGCTCAGAAGAATGAGTGATATAAAATTGTTCAAGGAAAATAAAAAATTTCTTATGGATATATTAGGGAGAATATAAGTGGGAAGCAGTCCTGGTGACCAATATTAGTTAGATTTCTTCGTTTCACTTGTCGAGCTTTGTATATAATATATTTTTCTATTTCATCCTTTTTTTTAATTCCGCCCAAAATCTACTAAACATGAAGTACTTTCGATGTCCAAAACGTTCTAGTAAAGTCCATATTGAACATAAACCAGACATTTAAATAACTTCTTCAGGACGTCCAGTTTATGTTTGATTGGGCGTGATAAAGACATCTACAAGACGTCTGATTTTGGACGTTTTCAAGATGTCCAGAACGTCTTGCGTCGAAGTCTTGAAGACGTCTTCAATACGTTTTTGTGCTATCTAGGTAAAAGTTTTTTTATATCTGCAAATGTTATGTGAATGAAATATTTTGTCACAAATGTGTGTCAAAATATTTCAGATTAAATAAAGAGCAGTTAAAACCTACTCTACCCCATCAGAAAAAATTGAGCGTGATGATTCCCTCACACATACAAATATGAATAATATTATACTACTTGTATAATGCTTCATCCCAAATTTGACGTGAATCCCCCAAAGCCAAAAGTTCTGAGGTGGCGTTGAGTTGAAGGTTGGACCTATGCTGAACTTGAAGTTAGTCTGGTCAGAGAGTAATCAAGTTGGTATGTTGGTGTCAGATACAGTGCTCTGTATTCATCGAGGTATTTATATCTTTCTAACATCAAATGATAAATTCTTGATTTCATCAATTTATAGTTGTACGATGAAATTATGTTTATGATACATAGCAATAATCGTGTTTGATGATATTTTTTTGCTCGACAAGGTATATTATGAGAAGAAAAAATTCAAATGGCCTGGCCAAACGAAAGTACAGGGGTGAGGTAGACTGAATTGTGAAAAATTGGTATGGAAAACTGATTTTGAAATTCGAAAATGAGGGTATTTCTTTGGGGTCCAGCAAATTGATCAATTTTATCCTCAATACGGACCTGTATTTTTCTTGTGACTAATAGGTGTGTCGCTGGGGTAAGAAAAGAAGGAATTGTGTACTGAATTCCAAAAAAATATACTGGGTGGTCCGTAAGTTATGCCCTCACAAAAATTAGGCAAAATTGATGATGAAACAGCCTATTCACCGTTGAACTTTTTCCGTTTCCCAGTAGGACACCTTGTATAATATCATTCGGAAATGAGTTTATTTGAATAAAGTCATATAACCTGTTTGTGAATGATTTTTGGAAGCTTCTAGCTCAACATGGACGGAGGTTGTGAACAGTTATAATTCTTCTATACAATCCTCAATTTCAGAAGATTCCTATTCTCATGTATATACTCATCTTGGGTGTTCAACAAATGTAATCCAATGTTCGACAAGGCAAGAAGCCAGTGAAGTAGTTGTTCTTTGTTGGATATTTCAAACGATATTATTTACATATATATTTTTATCTGAAAGAGAATGCAAATTCCAAACTTCAGAAGATTTAATTTTCAAATTATTGTGTGTGTTCAATGTTCGTCGTAGCAAAAAAACAGCAATCTGACCCATAAATCAAGCGATTTATAGGTATCAATGAAGGATTGAATACTAATAGGTCTCAAATTGGAAAGCAAATCAATATAGATGATTAAAATTGAGAGATGGAATTCATATGAAAAAAAAGGCCAGAAAAAATCAGAAATTTTCATTGGTGCGTAGATAATATTCATGATATATTGATCATAATGTCATAAGAATAATGGGAGAAAGATTAGCCAGATGTGATTATCTGCAAGAACTATACATGATGCTTTCTAATATAGAATGAGTACATCTATTGTGGCGCACTAAATGATCTCTTCTCTTGAAACTGGCATTGCAAAGATCACATGCGAATTTCCTCAATCTTTGGCATTCATATTTCATGTGCCTGTAGAGTGACGTTTGATGTTTATAAGATTTTCCACAGCTCTCACAAGCGAATTCCATTGCAGAACCTGAAATGAAAAACAATAATTTATATATGAAATACTTTCATTCACCTGACACCCCTGACAAATTAACCCAAAGAGAAAATTTCCAGCATTGACATTTTCATTTCCCTGTATAGTTTGAGAGGATTCATTGAACACATAAAATTCGTGAAGATATATAGTTTTGGCTCCTCCACCATTCACCTGACGTATTGTCACTCAGAAAAGAAACGTTCTTTTATAAAAATCCAGACTGAAAAGAGGTAGGGAGAATGGAATAATGGAAGTGTGCTGATAAATAAAAACAGAAAATATCAGCATCTATGAACCTCCGTATAATCAGTACATTCTATGTTGTGTATTTTTCAACACATCACTTTTATTTTTCTATTTTCTACTTCTTTTCAGTTCGGCTAACTACAAAACGTGTTCCTCAGTGTTCTCATATTCTTTGTAAGTACTCAATTTGGACGAAAGAATCATATCTCCTACCCTAATTTTCAATAGAATCGAATCATGATTACAAAACCCGTCACCATATTGTATCCGCTAGCATATTGAATAATATTCCAATTTTGACGAAACAATCATAATCTCCAACCTCGAAAACCCCCAGATTCCAATTTTGAATAGCATCGGATCATATATAATCACGAAACTCGTCCAACATATTGGAACCGTCCTCTTGGATTCTGAAATTTTGACGAAAGAATCATAATTTCCGATGTCGAAAACCCTCAGATACAAATTTTAAATAGATTCGGGTCATAATAATGAAACTCGTCCGCCAAATTGGAACGGCCATCTAAAATTCACGAATTTTCACGAAAGAATCATAATTTCTGACCCAGAAAACCCACAGATACCTATTTTGAATGGAATCGGATCATGATAATGAAACTCATCCGCCATATTGTTTTTTGTCTAGATTTCATTATGCATTGCTACCAGAATTATGTACACCTGCCAAATTTCAAATCAATCGGATCGTTCAAAGTGGGTCAAAATTCAGTTCAAAGGAGTTGGTTACATATTACACATGCATGTACAGGATGATTCATTGAAAATGCGAAATTTCTGAACTACAGATAGTAGACACGAAAATAATGAGATTTAGTCCGATACACCTAATGAGAATATTGCTGGTTCAGGAGATACAGATCATTGTGTTTTTCACTCTTGAAGAGATTCATTTTCCACTTATGACATTTTATTAATTTCATTCATTAAATCAAGAATGGAAAATCTCTGAACTACAGATAGTAAACACCCAAATATAAAGATTCAGCCCAAAATGCCTTCTGAAAATATTGCTGGTTTAAGAGATACAGGGTGGTTAAGGAGAAGATTTTATTTCAGAATATCTTTTTCTTAACCACCCGGTATCTCTTAAAACAGCAATATTCTGATGATACATGTTGTGCTAAATCTTTATATTCGGGTGTTTACTATCTGTAGTCCAGGGATTTTCAATTCTCAATTTGATAAATAAACTTATTAAAATGTTATAATTGGAACATAAATCTCTTCATAACACAGAAACCATTGAAGTAAGACAATTTGATGATAAATACACTTCTTATGTGAAATCGAACAAGCTTTCAGATTTTCCACTTATTTTGATCATAAATGAATTGACATAGAAGATATGATGTAAATTGTCGAAGTAACAGAGTGCCACTAGCGCCCTCCATGAGCAATCAGAAAATGAGTTGCAAATTCATATTCCTCATGTCAGGAAACCTAGAAATACAAGATTTCATGTTCATGCTGTTGAAACTAACAAAGTTATTGTGTCATTTCGAAATAAAATTTCCCCCTTCACCCTGTATCTCCTAAACCAGCAACATTCTCATCAGGCATATTGGGCTAAATCTCATAATATTTGTGTTTACTATCTGTAATTCAGAGATTTCCCATTCTAGATGAATCACCCTGTATACATACTTACATACATACATAACATGAAGCTAATGAACGGGTGTTGAAAATAGCAGAATACTGGCAAAATTATATATTATGCACAATACAATAACAAATACAAACTATGTTGAAATATTGTCATTTCATTCGTAGTTCAAAGGTCACTGTGTATCTGTGCGGCTGTCAAACTCACCCCTGTTTCATAGATATCATAGCGTGATCATAGCGCATCTCTCAACGTTCTGTAAGTAGGTACCGTTAAAACAATGAAATGAAGTAGGCTTTCTTAGATATTCCTAAATTTTACACTCGCTTATCTTGTCATTGTCATACATAGGGTTATTATTTTTGTTCGGATTATCAAGTATCAAATTTGGAATTAGCAGTGTTTCAGAGCACGAGGATCAATCTGTCCAAGGTATTCTAAATCTATCAATGGGTGGGTGGTATTCTGGATTATGAATATTTGATGGCACTGCTACAGCTAGGAGTTCTGTTCTGCGGCAGCAATAGGAGCTTCCGCGAAACTAAAATGTCGTCGATCAGTTCAAGATGGGACCTCTGAATAGGTATTGAAAATCTGAAGGTATCTTTCTAGCTTTATACCTTCATGTCCATGAGAACAATCCCCAGACCCAAAAATCTTTTGAATATACTCGTATGGATTTGAATCTTTGTAACCATCTGCCTCAGCTTCAATACCTACTACACATCAAAAAGCAAGAAATAGGAAATAGGTATATCTCACATGATTTCCCAGAAAAACAGTTTGCATCAATTACTCAATTCATTATCAATGAATGAATACATTGAAATTACCAGATATACCGGGTGACACAGGTTATCGGGCCACCCCTGTAACTTCTGCATTCGTCAACGGATTTTTCTGAAATTCGGTACAGTTATATAAGCAACTATTTTGGATTTGATCACATTACAATCCAATATGGCGGACTTCCGGTTTTTCTGGAAATGCCAGCAATTTTGTTTTTTCAAACGGAACACCCTGTATATTTTTACAAATTCAAGTTCAACAGGTCGAAACAAGTGCAATATTGATGTCAAATGTCATTCATTCCACAGCCTACCTAGTTGAAAAATTATTCTAACTGCAAGAAAATTCATAAACTAGTTGTTGATTTTTGAATGTATACAATTTGTTACTGCACCAAAAAACAAAAATGATATGTCATTTTGTTCCTTAATGTATGTTCTAGAGAGACGGGTAGGTGGCCCATAGGGGTTCCGTTTGAAAAAAAAATAATTTTTTATCAAAAAGTGATGTGGCTGAATTGATTCCTGGATAAGTGACACAAAAAATAATTTTTCAGAAAAAATTATGTTTTTCTGTTATGTGTGACTCATTGTGAATAGTCTTGACCACATCTCATTTATCCACGAGGTAAAATGAAAAAACAATTTGAATTTGATTATTTTCGAAAAAATTACATTTGAAATAGAGATTGCACTCGTTTTGACCTGTTGAACTTGAATATGTAAAAAAATACAGGGTGTTTCATTTGAAAAAACAAAGTTGCAAGCATTTTCAGAAATACCGGAAGTCCGCCATATTGGATTGTAATGTGATCGAATCCGAAATAATTGCTTATATAACTGTACTGTAAGGGTCTTTATTCTGGGGCCCTTACTTTGACGCTCTGTTCAGGACAGGAGACTACTCTGGTATTTGACGGGGGGGGGATTCTTGAGCGCCAGATTTTTGATAAAGGTGATTTACTTCACCTGCTCCTCCCAACTTAGTCGGGAAGGAGGCCCACAGTAGCAACAGTGGAGAAAGGTACAGGAGGTATACCTACCTCGGTACCCACAGTATAATCCAGGGGTCAATGGTATTGAATCGACCTGGAATTTATAAGTAGCCAAGGGAGTGTAGGCTTTAATTACAAACCCTGGGTCTAGCCTGGAATACTGGTTGCTATTTCTGGTCTGGATAATTACAGGAATCAAAGCAAAATATCTCTCAGGTCTTTGGTATTTTAAGGTTAGGTCTGGAAGATTATTTACTCAACTATTTCATCATTTCTACCTGGAGAATCGGAAACACAGTTCTAAACGAATTAAACAGATTCAATTTCTATTTATCTTTTCTTTTCCTTCGATTTTTCTAATTTTCTAATATCGGATTTTTAGTGAGGTTAATTAATTATATTTTTCCATTAATGTCAATAGTTCATGAAACATAGAACACCGCCTGACGGGATACAAAGCACAGAGACACCGGTGCACGGTGCACAGGACTGGATTTCTCAAGGAAAAGAAGAAGAAGAGTTGTTAACTGGCTTGTCAGTGTCAGTCGTCAGCCAATAATAATATTCTGCAATTTTGACAAATGAAAATATTGAAAATCACTAAATAAATTATTGAACTATTTGGAACTGAAAACAATGACAACAGAGAAGGAAATATGAAATATGCAATCACAAAATCCGTTTATTCAATTTAGAGTTCTGGATTCTTTACACAGGTCGGGTGAGTATCGGTGTGAAAAACAACAGGAATGAAATGAGGCTATAAACAGGATGAATAACACTGGTGAAAAATATACAAACTTACATGTGTAACAGGAAATCACTATACAATACTATTTTACACTGGTTTTGAATGAACTATGAGAGCACTAAAAGATCAGCTTGAGAATCAGGAGCTGGAAGAGCAACGGAGATCAGGTAGTGTAGACTTGTCAAGAAAAGCTTAGAGAGTGTGTCCGGAATCCTTGGCAGTCATCAGTATTTATGCACTGCTTCGGCCTTGGCACAAGGACAAGTAAATCTGGAATCTCATTGGTCAAAACTCCCACCTTGTCATGGCTCATGGCCAAGGCCACTAAATCTGTCCTTGAAAAACACATGTGCACCTCCAACACAAAACGCGGAAAAAATAATATTACACCCCAAATGGGCACAGAAACAGAATCTACTACCTTTGCTTATGCTACTGAATGAATTTGGCTGGAAAATATTCAATAACATCAAAGTTATGAGCAGTCAAACATTCATCATTTCAACTGATAAATAATTCAATCAAATTCCATATCATAAGCAAAGGGTTGAAAAATATGGAAGTCTTTAGGGTTGTAATGA